CCCGAAAAACAGAGCAAATTAAAAAAAAAGCAAAAAAAATAAAAACGCAACAACCCCAAAAGAATCAAAAACAAAAACAAAACAAATACCAAAAAAAAAAAAACCCATTCAAAACAGCGCATTTTCAGACGAACTGAAATGAGTATTCAGCGCATCCTGGGTCAGATGACGGTTTCCTTGTCCGGAGAAAATGTCTATGTGAGGCATTGTGGTGAAACCATGCGCTCGTCAAAATAATGAATTAAAGAAAAGGGCGTTTTCCTGCCAGTTTGAAAATTTTAATCATTTTTTTTTTCTCAACAACTTTTATGTCCATATAAAAACACATTTCCATAAGAATTTTACTGGAAAACGTTGATTAAAGGCACACAATGTAATTGTTCAGTTTTCAAAGATTCTCGAGCTTTTAAATTTACTCAAATTTGGCTGCCATTTTCTCGTTAATTTTACCTCTGAATCCCGGTGACCCCACCTCCTCTAATGGGAAATATCTCGACTTCTATTCCAGATAGACGGGTATTTTTTTTCGCCAACTGCAAGACAAATGAACAAGCTTTAAGATGATATTAATAACTCTATATGCCCCAAAATTGACGAGTGCCTGATTTCACCACGTCGTGCAACATATTATTATACGATCGTAAACGTAAGGCGAGTGTTGAAAACCTGCATAATACTCTTCTCTCTAAGAAAGAGATTATTTGGTGGGTTTGAGGCTGTAACAGATTTCATTCGGCGGGCCAGTGTGCTTTCGAGTATTAACTCTTATTTTACTCTTGTATATATATATGGTCATGCTCGCCAGTTCAAACTTCACCTAATCCATTTTTTTTCTATCGTTATATTGTTCCTGCTTTTTACTGTCCATTGCTTTTCTCTCGAGCGCTCTTTGTTTCGTTGGTTCTATTTTTCTTTCTCTCTATTTCTGTCTTTCGTTATCAGTCTTTCTTTATTCTCTGTTCCGTATCAACGTAGCAGCAGACTAATACTATTTTGATTTCGTTTGATAGACGTATATGTTTCTAAAAACCGGTAATTATATGTCTTGTTTAGCTTCAAGATCATTATAATGACATGCGTCAGATTCTACACTGAGAATGGATGCAAACTGATCGGAACAGACCCGATCATTTCCGTGAAGATCGGATCGGGTTGGAAAGGAAAATGACGCTAGCAAGTGCAATCTCAAATAAATTATACACCTCAGCATTTTTTCACTAATTTGACCCTGGCTGCTCAAGTGCCCTTTTCATTTAAAAAAATGTTGGGGGGTCCCGCGTCCTGATTTTGGTACCAATATGTGTAGGTTAAATAAAAATGTATTGACAAGGTGCACATTGTTATGTTTCAAGAAAAACACAACAAGAAAAAGAGGAATTGCTTGGTCGGTGATGATGATGATGATGATGATGATGATGATGATGATGATGATGATGATGATG